CAGGTTATAAAGGAAATTCCTATTCCCAATAGGATTCACTTACCATATCCATTCAGAACAAATTGACTTTATATTTTGTTAACCTAAAAATCCATTAAATGCGACTTGCTATACATAAGGCTATTAGGCGTCTTCCCCAGAACCGATCTGCCTCCCAGGCAAAGCTTGAGCAAATTGTTAGCTCAAAAATAGAAATAATAGAAATTTTAAAGTAATTCGTTATAATTTGCACAGGTTGTTGTTCGCACAAGTGGATCTTCTTCCGCTCGAACTAGCATCCGCTCGAAAAAATCCACTCAAATTCGCTCGAAGTGGCATCCGCTCGAATTGACTGGTTCCGAAAAGGAACGGCACCAAAACAACAGGAACCATAGAGCTATTGTATTATTATATCTCTGAGTAAAACAAACACAACGTTGACGCACACCACCAACGCCGAAAACAAAAATTCTCTAGTCTCTTTTAACCAGACGTTAAAAATGTAAGACCAATGAACGCCTTCATATAATCCCTGGACGATCCTGTTTATGTCATGTGTAGGCCTATTAAAGAAAGGAAAACATTAGGAGTATTTTTTAAAACATCATTAAAATTAAATTAATGTTTCATTGCTTTGCTGTTTTTGTTCGCCTTCATAAAAATGTATCCTTGGCCCAGTGAAGAAAGTATTTTAATACCTCCTATGTCATTTGGAATATTCAGGAATAAAGAAATTAACTTTAAAAATAATTTTTATATAAAATAATTATTAAATGTCTATTACTATGTGGAATGTCATTTTGAACATTTAGGAATAAAGAAATCATGTTCGTCTTTTGTGCGGATCCATAAACACGCGGATTTACCACTGCAATGAAGCTACTAAAAAATAATATTAGTAAGCAAATACGGAAATAAGATTTGATGAACATTTAAAATCTCATAAAATTTGGAAGATTAGCCCCACATTTTTAGCCAGCTAGATGCAGTATCAAGACCATAAAGAGCAGCAAATTCATGCATTATGACGGTGAAATGGGCGGGGGAGGGGTGGCGGGGGTAGTCTTATACGCCAGACATACAAAAATCATCCAAAAAAAAAGTATATACGGTACTCCAATTCGATTCTGAAATTTGGGGTGGTCTCGGAGTTCAGCCTCAAATTCAGAACAAACATAGGCTATAAAACAATGTTATGCTGTTTTTGTTCGGCAATTAAAATAATGAAAATAAACAAATTACGTTTTTGCTTACATAAGCTACTAGTGTTTACTGTATCTGAATGTGCATCATTACTATACTGCACTTGACCTCAGAGTATTTAAAACGTACGGGCACTGATGTTAATCTGTCTCTTATACACATCTAGATGTGTATAAGAGACAGGGATAACATTGACTATTTTTGCATATCCAGGAAGCTTCAAAATGTTTGTCTGCCTTGGATTATTCAATTGAATTTGCTTGTTAATTAATTCCCCACTTTATTTAGAGGATCATCCTTTGCTCTTCTACCCTCCATTGTCCCCTTTTTCTTCTTGTCCCTTTGATGTACTGTCGTGTCATTGTAAAGCTCGTTCACGTTTCCTTTTTCCTTGTCTGTTTTCCCTCAAATTCGAATTTTTTTATTGTGTCCTTTTCATGTGATTCAATGGTGATGTTGATTTTCTTCCTTTATGTGTTAATGTGAGCAAAGTAAAAGCAAACAAACAAACTCGAGGGCTCACAGTGAAGCGAATTGTTAATAATGGCTTACGGTATAGGTAGGAGCTCAGAAATCGTATGAAATATGATTCAAATCAAGTTGCTGCTAGCACTGGGAACACAAATAGGCCTAATGAAATCAAATAGATAACAATCCGTAGCGCTAAAATATAGAAACATGATGTTATAAATCGCGAATCAAACGTAGTTCATCAATTAAATTTCCTTATACTATATACTTATATATATGTACTTATATACTTATGTTCTTTATATACTTATGTACGCCTACTTTTCCGTGTACATAGTCCGGATTCCATATCCGTGCAGTAAGCAGTCCGATTCTGATTTCATTACTCATAATATATATGTCATTAAATATATCACTTCTTATGTATATATCTTTTGCTGTCCTAAATTTTATTTTGATTTCCAATATGTACTGTTGCATTGCAAATTATTGTTCAAATGTTTTTTTTTATATTTATTATAGTAAATTAAATCAAAATGATAAAGACTCTGCTATAGGCCTACGCCGACTACGTGCCAAAACTATTTATAGTGCGGAGGTGTTCCCTTGATAACTACAAATTGAACTTGACTGGATTTTGGTTTGTAGAATGATGCCCTTGTTCGTTCAAAAACAGGTAAAAATTGTTTACACATTTGTTCTGCCCTCACCCACCCCCAACCCGTTTCAGCTCCAGTGAACACGCATTTACAAAAGTCGCGTGAAATATAACATATATAGGCCTATGACAATCAATCTTAATATAAGATTGTGCCAAAATTTAACAAGAGGACACCTGTCACACCAAAATTGGTCCGGGCTAGAAATTGGTCCGGACCGATTTTAGCCGCTAAAATTTGTCCTCCTTAGATAATATTGGTCCCGGCCTGGACAAATTTTGGCTTAGCCTAAATCGATCCACCTACACCTACCGTACTCGCGCATAAGCGCCCGGGCGCTTAAAATATTTTTAGCACTTTTTGAGGGGCGCTTATTCAAACGGGACGCTTATTCGAACGGGTGCTCATCAAAATAGAGTGGAAATTGAGGGGGCGCTTATGAAAATCGAGGGGTTATTATGACAACTTATTAAATTCAAGAGGCACATTTTGAATGAAAAATGATCATATAAGGACATCAGGAAACCGCAAATTACGAATGGTGGTGCGGCGGAAAAGATAATCGTCCAGAGAGCATGGCTTGTCATGACAAAAATGTTGTGAGTTGGACCTACATTATTACATAACAGCATAATAGAAATTAGTGGTGGTGGTTACTTGTTGGCCATGCCGATTGAGATTATCAGGATTGCATGATCATTGCAGGTTTTCTTGAAAACTCAGATGGGAAAATGTGTTGTTAGGTGCAAATTGTTTGGAAAAGCAGTAGGACTAGGCTATAGAAAAAAGTAAGAAGATGAAAGTTGGAAATATATCTGTTTGTCCAGAGAGTCTCATCTGTCCAAGATAAATATCCTCATTTTGATATTGACTAAAGGAGAATGTGATTCCACACCTCAAATCATGCCAACATCCACAGTCCAGAATTGATTGAATTATTGAGGGGGCATTTATTCAAATTAGAAGGGGCGCTTATTCAAACGGGGCGCTTAAGTAAATTTTCACGTTCGTGGTACACAGCCAATTACAGCACAGTGAGTGCTTACCTATCGGTCCGCATAGATTTTGAGGGAAAAATATTTTGGTGGGAAATTAGAAATTGAACGACCAATGAAAATAAAGGTGATGGGTGGAGTTCAATCTTAAGCCTATTTTGCATACATCGCCGCATATAAGGCTACAGCAGCTGTATCAACAAAAGCCAAATACTATACTGTACATCATGACCTTAAACTCTTATATAGGGTGATGCATGCAAATTCAGGCTTCAGCGATGGCCACCACTGCGATTGTGATTGGTGGTTTGAAATCAGTGATTGTGATTGGTGGTTTGAAATCAGCGTAGTGGAATCTACATGTTAAATTTCAAAAACACTTTAACCCACTTTCTCTTTCTACCAAATATATGAGCCGTGGATTTAGAAAGGGATATGGTAGTTGGTCCAAGTCACTGAAAAAACCCTCGAAGCCTCTGCTATCAACAAAAGCCAAATAAAATATTGTACTGTACATCATGATCTTAAACTCTTATATATGGTGATGTCTGTAAATTCAGGCTTCAGCGATGGACATCATTGTGATTGGTTTGAAACCACTGTGCTGACGTGGCTAGTGCCATAGGAATCTATGATACGTTAAATTTCAAAAACCATTTCACGACGTTTACCCACCCACTCTCTCTTTCTACCAAATATATGAGGCGTGGAGGCGGTATGAGTTATGAATATGAAATTAAATTAAATTTTCTCTCAATGGGGGGGGGGGGTGAGGTAATGTATAGTCCGTGTACATTGCTAGTCTTTCCTTACTGTTAATATTCCAATCAATGTTCACGACCGCGAAGGCTACTATCAAATCAACACAAGCCGATCTTAAGCTCTTATATAGGGTGCAAATTAAGGCTTAGCTAGGGACATAATTGTGATTGGCTAGATAAGCATATGTGCGTCTGTAAAAGCTTAGGAATTGTTCTTTCCGCCAAAACCTATTGCGGACGTATATTTCCAAGTCTGCTGTGCAGCAAAGTAAATTTCAGCGGACTGATTTTGGCTTATGTGGACTACATTTGGCGAGTAATTATGCATGAGGCCAAAATCAGTCCGCCGGACCGATTTTTGCCCCGGACCAAACTTTTCCTGACAGGCATAAACGGTATGACGCTTGTCGAGATAGCAAGAGATTTCGATATATATATATATATACTCTAGAAATAATGGTTCTTCGGTGGTTCTTGGCTGCCCTGTATATAAAACCCTCAGTGTGAAAAGGTTCTATAATACTTTTGAAGGGTTCTGTAGTTCTACAAACACTAACGAACTTAAAATGGTTCGAAGGTCCCTTCAGCGAACCTATTTTTCTTCTTTTTCGAACTATCTAAAGGTGCTACAGATTACAACTGAAAAACCCCTTAAATATTATAAATATATGGAAATTCCTAAATAAGAACAGTGCTCAAATAGGAACAAGTTTTAATTGTATCGAGCATAAACCCTTCAACGAAAAGTTACTAAATTTTTTAGTTGTATGAAAACATGGTGTCTCTGTTTTGCATGTAAAGATCAAATATAATATTTGCACAAGTTGTAATTTTGTGCAACTATATATGTACCTATCCGCTCGAATGGGATTCGCTCGAGCAGGCACCACGTCCGCTCTAGAATTCTCTAGATTCTCTCGACTCCATCAACTTAACCAACCGTGACCGACCTCTCTCCCAAAGTTTGCTTGTTTGGGTACTACTGTATGGTTTATTGTTACGACATCAGCTACACAACAACGTACGTAGGGCCTAGGTCTAGTACTACCGAAGCCTGGATGTAAACGTATAACTTGACCTATTATACATTCATAACACTAGGCCTAGGTTCACAAAAGCGCTAAATATTGAGCCATTTACTTTGTATTTTTATATTCAGACGGTAAGTTAAGACTAGGCTAGGCCTATGCCTAGAGGTTTTGTAGGCCTTGTATAAATAAGCCAGGGAGTTGGAGTTGTTAATTAACAACTCCCTGAATAAGCATAGGCCTACTACTACTACTACTAGGCCTAGGCCTATATCAAAGTCCCACACTATCATTCTTTCTCGCGAGGCTAGGCACACGGCACACATACAGGCTAGCCAGAGCCTAGGCCTAGCTTGGGGGTCCTACTAAATACCACACGCCACCACGCGTAACCACACGGATGCAAAAATGATAAAAATATTACCACACGAGAGTAGAAAACTAATTGCTGCGAAGCAGTCAATTCATATTCTTGACAGCAATTTGACCTCTGAAAGGTCATTGTTTGTCAAAAAACAAGGGCCTAAGACGACTGAAAAACGGAGTTTCCTTCTTTCGTTCTGCCGGGTAAAATCAATTACTTTAGGCGACGTTTGTAGACTACCTACACGTACCAACGTCCGCATGTCGCGCTAGCCTTCCTTATCCTACTCTAGGCCTAGACTAGCTAGGATGGTATAGGCCTAGCCTTGAAGGGACGAAGGTCCCAATGAAAAACAATGTCGCTCCTTGATAGCTAACATTGTCTATTTAACATCACAATAATTCATTATTAGACCTATGTTTTTTGAATTGTACTCCACAAATCTCAGCCAATACCTCGCACACATTGTCGTGACGTTATGGCTCGGTGACTAACACTTGTGATGTCGCACTTTTGATCAAATAACACACTGGCTCGCACTTTGGCAACACTCTTTGGCAGTCAACTCGCCCCTAGAAAACCCACCCTTGGAAACTTGCCCCATAAAAAATGTACACTTCCTAGAATATGCAGTCTTCAAAATAAAAATTGTAATCTTTGGTAATCAACTACATTTTCCACATACATAGAAATTTTTGAAACTTTATTAAAAAAAACCTAAACCATAATTCACCACTATAGACACTTTTTGACAAAAATGAAAAATTACGACTTTGTTACCCAATGAGAAGTGTTCTAATATAGAAAATGGGTCGTGTCTCATATTTTATTTGTTATATTTTTATTATTCATTATTTTCACTTGACTCGCATAAATAACATTTATATGCAGTTGTACTTCGCAGCACTTCACTTGCAATTTGCAATTTCTAGTTTATTTAAATAGGCCTAATACATTACAGTATAATAATTTTGTGATAACAATAATAAATAGGCCTAGTACAAGTTAAATAGGCCTACTTATAATAAAGTTAATAATTTTAACAACAAATACTATTTTTCCATTTTCTTATTTACAATTTTAAACTTTATTAGATTTTATGTAGTGTGCCTTGAATTTTTAAAATAATAGTCTCTCGATGAAGTGTTACGTGATTACGTGAGTGTAGTAAGCCTATTTAAAAGGTTATGGTTGAACACATTTCTGTAGACGTCAATGCGTTAGAGATACTCAATGACATTGCATTACCTTCTGAAGCACGGTGACAAAAACCTGTTGAAAAATAGTCAATTTTTATCATAATTCGGACAACTATCACTATAAAATTTGGTTTTTATTGATTATCAAGTCGTTTTCTACTCTCGTGTGGTAATATTTTAATCATGTTGCATTTGTGTGGTTCTGTGTGGTCCGTGTTTTATTTAGTAGGACCATTAGTTATGCCCTAGTGATGAATACAGTAGGACGTATCTATAGTTTTCGTTCTATCAATTCGACTCACTGAATTTTATTTATTTATTTGTTAACAATGTTTAAAGTAGGTAACCCTTTCCAGCATAGCTGATACGTAGGGGCCCACTTTGACAACTCAAAGACGATACAGAAAAAGAGAAAATAAATGGTAATTTCATAAAAATCAAGAATTAACAAATTTATAATATTTATACATACTTTAGTTTAAAAAGGTCAGTTATAAATACATCATTGAAGTAAAAATTCAAGTGTAAATATAATGACCCTAGAAAATACTGAGAATAGGACTATTCCTAGACCTAATATTAAATAGAAAATGAAAATGCTGTGTAGAATGAATCTGGATTTATTAATTTTATGATTATGAATAATGGTAATGATATGGATGGGCCTCAGCTCACAGTGGCTATGGCTTAGAGGCCTAGACCCAGCCTATTCAGATTTCACTTTTGATTCAAATCAGTGATGGCGCCAAGATCTGCCCAACGGAAGGGCTAAATGCCTAGACAGGGGCTCACATAGGACCCCAGTGGGGGGTCCAGGGGAAGAAATGGCCTGGAAGCCACGTTCATTTGACTAATTATGGCAAATTTTTAATACTTATTTGATAGGCATCGAGTTACTATGATATGACTTCATGTACACTGTAGGCCTATGTTTCTAAATGTCAAAATCGGCTTCCAAAACTAAAACATTTTGAATAAAACAAATAGTATGTAATGTAACCATTAGATGTATTTAAAAATCCTCATTCTTCAAAGTGAAATTCTACATTTTGGAAATTTTGCATGAAATTTGTAAAACCACGCTGTCATTATTATTATTGTGATGGAAGGTTAACACAAATAGTTCAATGAAAACAATATGGTGGCTAAACAAATATTACATGTAAATATATTTTTTTTAATTTGTTTATTCTGATTGGGAATATGCCTCCCGAAAGGGGGAGGCGCTATGCTTCCCCGATGGGGAGGAGGGAAGTAGCCAACCCAGGCCCCTCCCCTCTAGCGCCACCATTGAATCAAATTTAGCATTCAGCATGTTTACAAACACAAAAACAATTATCTACTTATACATAGTGCGTTGTAGAGACCTCCGTGCTTAGCATTATTACAGTACCTCTGGTCATTGGATCATGGCACAATATGCAAATCATGCTCAGGTCCCTTCGATAGAATTCCATAATTTTACAGCTGTAATCAGTGCATTTTTGTGTTTAAGGCTATGTTTACACACACGGCGTAAAGCTGGTGTAAGCCTGGCGTAGTGTATGCCTTTGTGTGTGAACTAGGCAGTGGCCACTCACAACGCCACCTCCTTGGCGTTATAAACGCCACCTGCAGACCCCAGATTAGCTAACGCCACTGAGCTAACGCCAGTGATGCTTGAATGATTTGACCTCATTTCCAGAGACTGACCAATCACGATTGCAATAGATTAGTTACTTTGACCTCTTTCCTGTGCTCTCTATAAATGAAATGGTAAAGGGTTTTTTTTTTTATTGCATTTTACTTAGTTATAATGTATGATTTGTTGATTGTGTTATTGTAAGATATTTTAACCTATTTAAACTGTCTAATAAAACCTGCAACACCAGCAACTGTTCCACAATACAATGCTAGCTGAAAACAGAAGTAAAATTGTTCATTTAAAATACAATAATCATATAAGTTCACTTTGAACAATTCACAGATTTAAGTTTTAATGATGCACTGTTAATTCTACTACAGTAAAGAACCCGTACATTATTTTAAACTGAAAACTATTCCCCCATAGGCCTATTATTACTACTAGTTTAACGCCAGCATTAATATAGCAAACGTTGTTTGTGTGAACACTTTGGAATTTTAATCCATGGATTAGCTTACGCCGGCGTAAGCTACGGCAGTCTTACACCGTGTGTGTGAACATACCAGGTGCCCACTTGTACTCCTTAAGGTTACAAGCGGGATACACAGCGACGGATTGAACCTCCAACCTCAAGGTTAAGAAGCAAAACCGCAACCGCTGTGCCAAACCGCCGCTCAATGAATATACTGTAGTATAAAACAATCACTTATTAAAATTACTACTTTTATTACATATAAAATTAAAAGTATGTTATTATTTTAAAAGTTGGTGGAACCAGCTCCATTCCTCTTTTCTGTAACCCTGTATCCATCCCTTACAATTAATAGAATTAAATGTACAATAGGTCAAGGTTAGATTTGTGGTAGGCCAGTACCAGTGAAACCATAATACTGTACATTACTGTACCCCCTTTTGTTATCCTAACATTATGATACCTGCTTATTACTTATGACCAATACGGCGCATTGTTCCAACATTTTTGCAAGCCTCTGAAAAGTCCAATTAAAGCAAACACTTCAAATTCAGACAGGATTTTATGTTAGGGCTACTGTCAGACAGAGAGTAGCCCTGAAAGGACAGTAAATAAAATAGTTATATATAAATAAGAATCATCATTTTAGATGAATAATCATTTAAATTACACATCTGAATACCTAAAGGTCCAGTTTCTCAGAACCTCGCATCTGGACTCAAATGGGGTCAACATGCATCCTCTAAACCTTGTAGTATGCTTTGGCGGGCAGGAAAAGAGGTAAAAAAGTTATAAATAGAATCGTAAATAGCTACCCTATCTTCATTAAAATTACTTCTAAAAAGTTGTAGTTTCTGGAATTTCTTTGCTGACCTGAACCTACAGTAACACTTGACCCTACTGGGATTCCTCTGCAGTTTCTGAGACCAGTCTGAGTCCCCATCTGCATAGGGCCTAGAAGACAGGCTAAGCTAAGCCAGGAGTTGATGATGATGTATTCGTAAACAAGCTTTATATACTGCAAATTCCTTAAAATAATTGAGAAATTACAATGATGATTGCTTCAGTATTCAGACTTATAATTTTATTGTCATTTGTAAATTTCATTTTACGTAGAAATGCAATTGCAAGGGTTCGCTAATAAATATAAATAAACAGAATAATAACTAGGTAACAATATAACAATATTAATAAACTATCCCCCACTGGACACCATCCTGCTATTTCTGAGTCAAGGTTTTCTGGGCTTGAAAATTGTCCTCTGTCAGACACCATACCAGTATTTCTGAGTTGTGTTTTTGGTGGTGGGGGGGAGGGGTGCTGCTTACATCATTAGCCCAACTATCTAACTTTCAAATTGGCATGTTGGTTGTGGCAGGTTTCATATTTCTTTTATAGATGCTACAGCCTATACTTGAAAGCTAATCTTGCAATTGCAATTTTTTTTAGACACATGAAGATGCCAGATTATTACGAAGTTCTTGGAGTGAGTAAAACAGCTACAGCAGAAGATATTAAGAAGGCGTAAGTCTTGAGAACAGTGCCAACTCTTTATAATAGCAAACTGTCGAAAGAGCCAGATAGTGCTGTATTTTTCTTATTATTATTATTATTTAAAAATCTTGTCAAACTAACAAATTTATTTAAAACAATGAATTGCTTATATGAAAGGATGATAAAGATCAAAATAAGTCTGTGTTTTCACTGATTGAGAGACTACTACAGATTGACCATAACTGAGTATTGACACTCTATGGTGCCCTGTTTGGCAGTAAGTTAAGTGTCATGCTCAGTACAGTTTACAGTGTTGCTCTCCCCCTGCACAACACAGTATGGCAGATCTCCAAGCTCCTCTGTTTTGAGCCAATTCCTGACTAAGACCTTTTGCCCTAAAGCACTGCCCTCTTTTACTTATCATCCTGTAAACCACAGGATTTTGAACCCAGAACGCTGGAATATAAAAAGAAAGCATTTAATCTTCAAACTACAAATTTACTACCTGCTTTGTTTTCATGATGAAATGATTAATGAGAATAAAATAAATATTCCTCAGGTATCGCAAGTTGGCTTTAAGATGGCATCCTGACAAGAACCCTTCAAATAAGGAAGAAGCTGCAAACAAATTCAAAGAAATATCAGCTGCATATGAAGTGCTATCTGATGGTAAACATTTTTTTTGGTTTATTTTGTACAGTTGAGATTAAGTGTTGAAGTGGCTCTTCCACTGGGTATGGAGGAGGGGTAAAACAAGAAGCTGAAGTCTAATCGAGAATATAAATTTGGTTAATCACATGATAGAAACTTTGGAATGGAGATACACCTCCACTGGTGAAAATTAAAGATGATGATAAATATTCAAAAAAAATGTATGTCCCCATCAGGATTTGAACCCAGGACCTTTCCAATTACTATTTGTATACTCTACCATCTGAGCTACCTGTATGAAGCCAAGTGGTATTATACACTCTTGAATTTTCCCATTATTTGTGGCACATTCTTTCTCAATTCCAAACTTGGTTATATACAATTCTAAGTGATTGGAGATCACATCAGTACTACATGTACATTTGTATACCTGCTACAGGTACATCATAGATTAGCATAGCAAGTCACAGGATGGCAAGCTCTGGATGTTTCATTTGACCAGAATTAAAAGGATGATGGTGCACCCACAATTTTTCTTAATCTTTCATTTGGCTGTGAAAGACCAGAGTGTTATACAGTAGTAACGGCGAAGAACTTAAATAGCAGAAGAATGAGCTGCTCCATGTATTTGCATTAAAATCGATGGAACATTCGCTCTCCTGCGGTTGCAGTAAAATTTGAACATTTTACTAAGTGGAGAAACTAATGGAAACAAGCGAACAAGAGCAGCGCCTTTATTATTTTTATATAGCGCCGCCGCGCGGTTGCAGTAAAATTGCTCTCCGTGTACCCACGATGCCTTCTCAACGGATGTTCCACTATATAGGGAAACTGCTCTACAGTATCTTCTGCTATTTATTATCTTTGGTAACGGTCATTATACTGTACTACCAAGCTGTAAACAACAGTCAGGATCACAAAATATGATCTTAGCATACAAAAACTGTGCCAAGTTTCTAACCTATATTTTTGTTCAATGCAATCTCAATACAAAATTTATCAGTTGCTGATTGAAATATGTAACTGATCACAAAAATATGTGACGTGTCACCACAAAAATGTCATCAAGCAAAAATTTCATTTATACGATTGTGATTATGGACGTTGCAAAGCTGTACTAATAGAATTAGTTATTTGAAACAATTGTTTCTATACTACTGCTCCGCAAATTAAGCCACAAACGTTAACCGAAAATATGTGATATTTGTTTTACTTAGCTTGGGAATTAAAAATTGAGTTTATAGTATCACATATATCACAGCATATGTGGCAAAGACAAGCCAAACCAGTCAATTGTCGCAATTCGTGTTTCAGAGCTAATGGCCAAAACATGCTGGAATGTCAACATTTTTGAAATCTATTTATATATCTAACTTTATATATCTATACTTTCAAGGCTGATTTTTCAAATATTGTTCTTAAAACAGCTGTATGTTTGAATACTTGTAACTTCATAAAGAAATGGCAGATTTAAATGATTCTTTTACCATTTGATAGCTCTCGTTTTACTGTTTAACCCTATAGTAATAACTAAAAATTAATTAAAAATTTAAAATTAAAAATTTTTGCGACCAGTGACTGGTTTGGCTTGTCTTTGCCACATATATGTTTATTGTACTGCACCACAAACTTAGCCACAAACGTTAACTGAAAATATTTTATATTTGTTTTACTTGGTTTGGGAATTGAGTTGGAATTTAGTCTAGCATAGTTGGTGCAGCAATGGCCATTTGAAGACTAAAAGGAAACCCAGTTTTGAGAAAATCTAGCCTTTAGAGTAAAACTAATAGTGTAAATAAATAGCCTAATAGAGAAATAGATAACCTCACAACTAATGTAGGACAAACTCTATTAACAAATCGAGTCCATACACAAGTTTATATTCTGTTGAGCTATGTTGGTGTTGTTCTAAAAAAACTCAATAATACGATTTTCATTTACAACACAATTCCATAAAAACTGACTTTGACCTAATTCAGCATGATGCACCTCTTTTTATGAGGAGACCTCACATACTGTATGCTACCCTGTGACAAGTACTGTGGGATTGTTGTGACAGGCAGGTGGGGTTAAGTGCATCTATGTTAAATAAAAGATCGTAATATATATTACCGTGGGACTGCATTGCATCAAGTTGACATGTATACTCTAGATAAAATTATGTATCTAAGTTTTTATGTAACTATTTCCAAGGAGTGGTTTTTCTTCACATTCTTTGTGAAATATTGTTCACTTGGATCTCATCTCTGGCATGGGGGGCCTCAGATTGCGTCCATACCCGTACCTTGTCCTTTCTGTTTTTCTGATATGAGATGGTGATAAAGAAATATCAACTACCTGCATTATTCTTAAATGGGGTCACCTACAATGTAGATATAAATAAGAGCATGGTTTTACGTTAAATTGAAATGCTTATTGGAATACTTGATTATTTTAAATGATATTTGAAGTGATGTAGAATATTTGATAACATTTTCATGGTGGAGATGTGTTGAATAAATTCAGAAAACAATTACGGTATGTATTACCATATTTATTTGATTAAACATCCCACTTTGAATAGCTCCCCCTCAAACAAATGCCAATCACGAATGTCGTTTAGAATAAAGGCCAACTTGAATATAAACAAAGTGACTGAACAGCAACACCAATTTCCTAACAATGGTCTAACATTAATATTTTAAGCCTGCCACTCATTTTGGCAGACGATCATAGGCCAATGTCATTTTATGAAGAACGTAATGTCGTGACGCGTGTGCAGTCGATCGTTTTAATGATCCATTCAGGCTGCCACCGACAATCAGCAGATTATCGCATTGTCTAGTGCTCACATGACCATCGGACAATGTAGTGAATGCATAGATTTACACTACAGAACTAAATTATTGCTAATCTACAGTATGATCTAAAAGCTACTGTATCATAATCATTAACAATATTTGTCAATAATTTTGTGTTGTGCTATACATTCCCAGTGAAATAAAGAGGCGTTCTTTTTATAACTCCATTTTACACCAAAAAATAAACCCCTCTGTCAAATAGAGGCTTCCAGCAAATACACCCAGCTCTCAAAATTCCCCTAATTTCCTGGGCGGGTCATTTTTAAACAGTACGTAACTGGCGGTCAGTGCCACTATCTTCCCATGCCCATGCGCATTTGAATGTATGGAAAAAATAGCACCCTCTTTAATGATAATGAGCTATGTCAAGCATAGAGTAACAAATACAGAGTGGTTGAAATCAAACTCTGAGGAATATTATCTTAATATTTAGTAGATTTTCTGTTGTGAGATTGGGTATAAGTGTAAGGCCTGTCAGTAGGTATATGGAATGCATTTAGGAACTACTTTTTTTTTTCATTTCAAATCATTTAATAATTTAAATGTTTATATATTTCAGCCAATAAAAAGAATATATATGATCGTGGTGGCTCAGGTACAGTATTAGTTCTTTTATCATGAATGTAATTAAATAATAAATAAAACCTTTTTATATCTAAACTTACAACATTCTAAATCTGTCAGTGTTCGAAATAAGGAAAAACTTAAAGTTGTCCGGCTTCAAACCCAGCCATTTCCTAAGATCGTTCGATATGACGTTTGATGAAAAGTTTGAACGCCTTCCCACCAGCGCCTCCATTCGCCCTGATACGTGAGTCAGTGCCTTGTTGTGCAGCCCGCCCATAGAGCTATTATATCTCTATGGGCCCGCCACAGTATAAGTAACACGCGAGAGGGCACCTCAGTTCAAGTCTCAGACCAAAACGCGAGAAAACATGTGATTCGGCGAATCCAAAATGGCCGCGCCCCTGACAACAACGCAGTAAAGTTCAGGAGGCAAAAAACGATTACTTGAGGTGAGGTTTGGTTCCAAAATTTTTTGGTTGTCCCACGGACAAGTTGCCCTATAGTTCTGGTTGTCCGAGGGACATTTTGGTTGGCTGGGACAAGCGGACAAGCCTTATTTCGAACACTGCACACTATATATTCACTTATATTCATGTTAATAATTTAATGCACAAAAGTGTCTGTTGTCATAGACCCAGTGCAAAAAAAAAAGTATTGCTTTGAGAGTTTTTAGTGAGGTGCCTTAGGGAGTGGGATGAATGGAAGCTGTGCCTTAAGGAGTGGGGTGTCTTTAAGATGGAGGTACAAATTTTACCTTGGGCATGCTCCCCCTCTGAGCACTCTTCATCATCATCAGTGCTATAGGTCAAACAATGGTACACCGTCGTTTGACTTTATAGCACTTTGTAACTATTTCGTGCCATGTGTTTCGTTTTGGGCAGGATGTATCTCAAGGAAAGAAGTTCTGTAATATATTTTCCAGTTCTGTTTTAATTATATTAAACCATGTATTTTTTGATCTTCCAATTTGTTTTTTTGTTTTGGGAGGGGGGGGGGAGGGGTGGGCGTTTACCACACAGTAAATAATGTAGATAAATCACATAATAAAGACTAGTGTGGTACTTAATTACTATTCTAAATTCAGTTAATAGCCACAACATCAGTGATAACATGATAATCAGGGGCGAATCCAGAAATTTTCAAAGGGGGCGGGGGCCGGCATAACATTTTCAGAATAAATAAGTGAGTAGGATTTATTTCAATAAATAACATTAATATGCAATGAAATTATAAAATTGGGGGGAGAGTGTGCCCGTTCCCTCCAATTGGAATTGTCTATTTTTCTTCTAGATTTTGATTTTGCCAATAACTTTGATGACTTTCCTGGACATCACCAAGGCTTTACCTTTCACTTCAGCCGTCCAGAAGATATTTTCAGAGACTTTTTTGGAACAGATGATCCTTTTTCAGTCTTTTTCGGTATGTATTAAAAAGTAAAATTTTCAATAATTTTTACAATTTATTTTTTAATCAGAGGCTGACCCTTCCAGCGATATTCAGTGCCTCTCTTAAATATATGAAATAACTTTTAATGCTGTTATCAGTGAAGTCTCTTTATGAGATGTAGGGGTTGTCACAGGAATTGAACCCAGAACCCTGGGATTAGAAGGCAAGCATCTTAACCACTCCCACATGTTAGCACTCATTAGCTTCCACATGGAGCATAGTGGATGGGTAGGGGGAGGTCTGTTACATTGTTCTCATTGTCATTGTTAGTGCATTTCTCAGTTGTAACATCTTGAAGTATTGGAGAAAGATGCACAGTTAGCTGGGCAGGCCATTGGTTGCCTTCAAATTGGATGTACTTAAGACATACTGTATACCCCTTTTACACTGCCAAGGTCAGAATAAAGCTAGGTAGGTGCTAGGTAAGGCTTATAATCCAGAATCAAATTCGTTGTTGTTTACACTGGCAACTCCGGTGTGCACCTGGGTTTTCCAACGCTGAATGCGTCCCGCACATCGATCCCAGAATGTTTGGCAACCCAACTCGCACTTTTTGACGCTTACACCAACTACAACTTAGGAATTTCTAGCCCGGGTATTGTAAAATCCTGGAATACGTTTGGATTTTTGCTTGCAGTGTTAAAGGGGTAACAGAAAAATAGGATAAAGTTGTATGTCACATGATTTTTAAAAAATTACTCATATATTTCAGAATCAAACTCATCAAGGAATGTGGGGCATGGAAGCTTATTTCAGGATGGCTTTGCGACTGCTGGGTTTGGCTCATTTGGGGGGTTTGGTGGGTAAGTAAATTTACATGCAGTTTTTAAATCCTATATCAGAGTATAATCGTATAAATCTCAGTAGGCATGTGCCATTTGTGGTTCTGTAGTACAAACTACTTGCTGACTGGGTGACACAAATAAAGCATGCAAAATAATTTTGACTGGTGAAAGAGACGTAGCAAAGACTATAGAACTACAAGAGGTTCGAATCTTTGTGTTTTGTTAAAATGCAGTCCTATCCGGAAAAGTACTACCATGTCTTGGAGGATATTTTTTTTTAAAGAATGTAAAAATCCTTCATATCAAATGTGTTCTGCTTGTAAAGAATGCCTGTTTGAAAATCAAACACTATTTGAGTCTGTTTCAAATTACAATAGGTCCTTGTTGCTCAGAAGATTAATTACTTATTCATTTAATTTTCATGTTTTTTCAGCTTTGCTCACTCAAATTCAGCCTGCTATATAGATCTTGAAAAACATTTTTCAGTACAGTATAATATAGTACAGGCATTCAAAATTATTATTCTCATTGACATTGTTTATGCATTTCTCTGTTATAAAACACTTGACAAAGATAATGGGGATAACATGCTGTTTGCCCAAAAAAATTTTGTCTGGAGATTGTGCCACAGATATTTTTCAGAAGTCATCTTTCACAACAACTGTACATGAATCCTTTTGCATTTTCATCCTCTAAGGTCATAGATTTGCAAAAAATCTTTGCAGTTGTTGGCAGTCTTATTTTATTTGTGTGCAATTAACATTTGGCAGCTAGATCATGAAAACCCAATCCACTACTTCATAACATTTTGGCCAGTATTTTGTGGAAATTTGGCAGTTGGATCTTTTAATTTGCCAGTCAGTATAAACTAAGTGCATTAATTGGGGAAATTTGACTGGTAGGTACACATGTAGCGAGGAGAATAATTATTAATGACACATAAATACAAGTATGTATACTTTATGTCAGAACGAAAATAGATTCCTACAACAGAGAGAATAAATGTAAACATAAGGTTAATTAATTCTTCCTGGTATAACATGCGATGTTTTGATCATGTTTTCGTCAGGAGATTTGATAGTATTAGTGATGATGTAGTGCCCTACCTGACGTGTTATCGTATCAAATGCTCCGTACGTTCCAAACTACTTGCAGAAATATCTTGCAAGTGATTCCGGTGGGAATCAAACCAACGATCTCTAGATAACTAGTCAAGTAGTTCAAAACATCATTGCTACAACATGTGATGTGTTGTAATTTCCTTGGCTGGCTTTAAAGAATATTGTAATTCTGAAAAAAAAAACTTGTTTTTTTATGATATATATAAAAAATATTATTTACAAAAATCAACACCAACAGTGTCGGCCACTAGTGTACAGAATAATACGAACATACATTCAGACAAGGCAGACAATAAATGTCTGTACGTACAAAAACTTATGTCTATGATTTTCTTTCCAGTGGCCCATTCTTACCACCGTATATGGGGTTGAAAAGCATTCCTCAAAATGGGTATGTGGTAGTGAGTGCATGGGTGCAACCACCAAATTATACATTTGTAAATTTTTTTTTTTTTTTGTGTAAGAACTACACATACTAAAATTATTTTTTTTTAGGAATGCTGTGTACTAATTTATTGATCAAAACTAGTATTATTTGATTTTCACTTTACACCATATTAGGTAAATGTCATGATAAACTATAATGTAGATTACAATATAATCAATGACTGTGCATGTGTAGTAAGTAACTATAATAGAAGAACATTTTTATATAAGAACATTTTAATATCTTACATTTTTAAAACATCTGCAGTGATCTAAAAATAATTTTTAAAATAAAATTAAGTATTTGGATATTCTATAATTTGAAATTAATTATTAGTATTCAATTAAATACTAGAATAAATTTTAAAAAATTCCCTACTCAGGGGCGGATCCAGAAATGTCCAAAAGGAGGGGCCGGAAGCGGGGCCGAAAGTTGGGCCGATTGAGACAACACTGTCGTAGGGGGTCTGGGGGCATGCCCCCGCGAAATGTTTGTGTTCTAGACGCCCGAACATAACATTTTAGGCATTCTTGGCCATCATTTTTTTCTTTTTCTCTTTTTTTCCCCTTTTTTTTCTTTTTTTACCTCCCAAAAGGGGGGGCCGGGGCCGGGCCGGGGCCGGGCCGGCCCCCCCCTAAATCCGCCCCTGCTACTATCAGCTATACCGTTTTACATAGATCCCTTGCATAGACCTGTTAAATTGGCTGGTAAATTAGTTTAAGGATTGTTTTATTAAATCGTGTCAATTCAATTTTTTAAATTAATTTGTTGGTGTTTTTTTTTTCATATTTATTCTAGTTAATCAGCTGTAATGTCACTGACAACTTATAGACTATTGATATATCAAGGCTAGTGTGTAGATTTCAACACACAGTTCAATTTTTTAAAATTAATTTCTTGGTATTTTTTCTACATTTAACCACAGATGGTATCTTTAATCAGGTTGCACTAACCATGATGTAGTCAGTGGTGGCTTCTGCAATTTTTCCCGACGGGGTCTGACATGTCCGACGGGGAGGTCTGAACCAAGGGGCAGACTATAGTGCTTCTATCATGGCCCAGAAAAATAATCCCTGGTACCAGTCACTGGGAGAGTTTCTGTGGCTTAGTATGGCCTTAATTCTGCTTTTTGGACCACAATATTAGGGATTAGTAATCAAAATAATGTTAAGGGTGTGTGGGGGGGGGGGGGTTTGCTTTCCCTGCTGATACCACCACTAGTTACATTACAACTAGAATAATTCATAAGTTATACAAGGTTTATGTCAAGATCCTCCATGACCAGTCAAACCCATGGAGATTACTTCTTTAAACCAACAGATGCAATGATTATGTTTAAATAACATAAAATAAATGTAAATCCATTGCCATGATATTTAACATCTTGACCTTTATTATTGGGTCATCATCAGGAAGAAGGAAAACATGGAACGGTAAATTTACCAAAATTAACTAAATATGCAAATGAGTTCTCAAATATTGCTTTATGTTTAAATGCTTGTAACTTCATAAGGAAATGTCAGATTTAAATGATTCTTTTACCATTTTAAAGCTCTCATTTTACTGTTTAACCCTGTAGCTAGTAATAACTAAAAAAATTTTGCAACCAGTGACTGGTTTAGCTTGTCTTGCCACATTTATGTTACAGTATGTCTTCTATAAATATCTCTCACTTGATGTGTAATTTTATTTTATGTTCTTATACCCTAATGTTGTAACTAATTTCATGGTTTATTTCTCTTTATGATTCTCATTTGTTGCATACAATAATCATCCAACAAAAGAAGTAACAGATTTTATGGGTCTGCAGAATATAAAGGAAGGTTTAATTTCAGTGGCATGGATCTAAGTCTAAACAAGGAAAGGGAAAAAAATTGTTAAGCTTTGCTTCGATTTAGACTTTACATTTTGGACTATTATCAAAGTAACAATAGCATTTTCAGATAATCTTTAGTCTGTTGGATTCATTCACCCATTCTCGACATTATAGTATCAGGTTTAATAATTATGGGTTTTTGTTTATCACTTGCTTAACAGATAAATTCAATGCAGCAGGAACACGGCCAAAGTTCTGTAATTCTTTTTATGCTTGTAGTGAGTCATCTGTAATGTCACTGACAACTTATAGACTATTGATATATCAAAGCTGGTGTGTTGTTTGTTTTGTTGAAAAAGTGTATGATTTATGTAATTTTAATCTAAAGCACTTAAAAGTACCACATGTCCAATATTCCTGATTAGTTTGGGGTATTTATTTATATATTAAAGTATATGGGCATACTTGTTATATAGTGGGGATGCTATGCTTTTAGTGTGAAACATAAAACGAGTAAATGCTATTTAATTATTGAACATAATAAAACACTATTGAATTTTAGCGGTGGTGCCAGAAGGGGTCTGGAGGCCACAGGAACACTGTCGGATAACCATGGCCCCCTGCCAGAGAAGATAAAAGCAATCAAAAATTTCTACAGCCCAACTGCTATTTTTAGGCATCAGGGAGTGTTTATTTTAAAAATTTGCTCAACTCAGTCCTATCTATGGTGGGCATCCCCCCCACCTCCATCCTCTCAGGGATGTTTGGTCGCCAGTTGATAATATTTAGCACCGCCACTGACTTATTTACCACTTGCTTGCATAGATTTTGATGATGTGTATAGCATATAGTATTTCTTAAAACTTGCATAAACCACATTTCTTTTGCATGCTTCTTTAGCTTCAGCAGTTTTGGAAATGACGGAATGGAAAGCAGGTAGGTTCGTATGATTAAAGAAAATATATTGTCCCCATAAATACAAAGAAATTAGAAATTCATGACTATAATTGAAGATATAAACTGGAAATAATGATTATTCACTATTCAACTAAATACAAATCAATACAACATACTTATATTCAACCTGACAAAATACTGATTTTTCCAAGACACAAAAATGCTTTTTGAGTATAAAACTCAGGAACGGTTAATGAAATACAGATTTTTTTAATATTTAAAAACTGGGGGAAATGGTAGGAAAAGGGGTGGTTATGCCTCTTTTACCCCATTTTGAAATATTTAAACACCCTTTTTGTGTCTTAGAAAAATAAGTTGTATAATATATCAACATTGTTTTTTTGCTCTGGAACCTGGCTTTAAAATTATAGTGTATAGAGCGGGTGAGGGCAGTGTTAGTTATGTATTTGTGGCAAAATACACAAAATTTTCAAATTGATTTTCCACAAAATAGTGGATAGTAAACAATAATAATTGATTTAATGCTAATTAACATTAAATGGGTAGAGAAAAAAAAATGTAAGCGACAGGCTTCATCGTATGTCAGCAGATGATAATAATAATAATAATTTGGATTTGTAAAGATTTGTTTTTTGATGTTAGAGATGGTGGAATTAGCTCCAAGTGTGTTCACTGTCATCCACCACACCTTACCTGTCATTTTCTAGATTGTCTTTAGCAAAGGCCAAATAAAAAAAAACCAAATTTTTGTAAAAAAAAAAACAAAGAGGAAAAGGAGATTGAGTTACAGGCCAAAGTAAAGGAATAAATCGAGTACAGCTGGTCTGAAATGAAAGTATTAAAATGTACACCATCTTCCAAAAGACACATTTACGTCATTGGTCCTGTGTGCAATGGCTCATGTTCATGTTAAAGACCACAGTACACTCTTCGGAAACGAGCAGGTAATTGTCACCGAAAATACGGGAAATAAGTCATCAAACTTTCATTGGTTGTCCTTGATTTTCACACCGAATTAGGACTATGTTATCCGAGTGACTAAAAAAAATAAATTTTAAAAAGAGGGGCCAGCAAAAAGGGGAGGCAAGGAGATTCAAGAAAGTAACTGATTTTTTTTTTTACTTGGCTTAATGTGTATGATTAATCGTCTACAAGAATATAGTTCTTAAGCTGTTTTATGTTAAACACCTGTGGTCTAATACACACTGTACATGTTATGTGCATTGTTTCTCGTCCTAGCCAAGCAATATATGAGTGTTTATGTATTATTATTTGAAAACACCTTGAGGTCACTTTTGCGGGTTCATGAGGGTTGACTAAAACTAAATACTCACTGACAAGGTTACATTTTTGTTTATTATATATACTGAGCCAGCTTGTTATTTTCTCTTATCGATAGCTTTTCATCATTCTCAAGTTCATCATCATTCGGCAGTGGGAGTGGTGGAGTTCGGAGGTCATCTACAACATCAATCAAAACAGTTAATGGCAAAAGAATTAAAACTACAAAGTAAGTGGATTTGGTATTATTGTGGGGAAGAGTAGGATATTTTGTTGGAGAGGAGGGTGGTATTGAAATGGGAGAAGTGTGTGGCATTTTGCTTGGCAGCTTACATGTGGTTTGAGGCTTGCCATTCCAAAACCAGATTCAGTGACCAAAAAATGTAAATTTACTTTTTAATATCCACATTATAAGCTTTAAAGATGATGTGTCATTAATACCGGAATAGACTTACTATTGCCTAAGTCATGAGTAAAAGTATTATGGCAATACTGCCATATTCTTAAACTAATTACTCAGTTTAATGATGAGCGACAGTAGGCTGGTTTTGGTGTCAAGCCTCATATTTATTTTAAATTAAATTTCTATTTGATTCACACCAAATGGAAATTTGCTATGGCAGTACAGTGTTGGAACACTGGTTGTTGTCAGATCACCCAAGATAAGCAACGTCAAAGCCAGTGAACAGGTGCGGCGCTAATTTTTCCCCTGACCTGGGGGTGGGGTGGACACTAGGTGTGGACCACTTGTCAGGGAGCCTGGACCCCTCGTCAGGGATCCTGGACCCCTCGTTGGGGAATTCCTTGCACGCCCCTGCCAGTGAACACACTATAAAAATCCCAATACATCCTTCAAGAAAAGTAGGTGGTTTCTCCAGTCTACTGGTCCATCCAGCCCCTGTAGGTTGCAGTAGTTTTCTACACCTGCGAGCAATTGAGACCAGTAGTTATGTTTGAGAAAGGTATTTGAGAGAGGCGTATATTCAAGAAAGGTGTTTATTTATTTATGCAAAATGGATATGTATGAATCTAGATGTGTATAAGAGACAGCATGTACATACATGTAATTTTTTTTTTTTTACAGAGTTGTGCAAGACGGAAATGAAATTGTCACAGTAGAAGAGAATGGGGTTTTACAGTCTAAAATGATTAATGGAGAGTTGCAAGCTTTGCAATACTAGTCAAATTTCTTCAGCATTATTTACATATTGACACCTATCATCAGTCAGTATCAATGAGCATCCTTCAGCATTAATCATTTGCGTATTGAAAACTCAATAATGTAAGATGTATAGTAGGATTTAATGTTTAAGATATTAAACATTTACGATCCTCTAGACAGCAGCTAAAGCCTGATATTGTTTGGATTACAGTATAAGTTACTAGAGTGCACTCGTTTTAGTTAATCTCTGCCACACCACTTTATTAATGTGATTTTTTACAACATTTTGTGACCATGACAGTTCACCCTAAAATTGAATGGCTAATTTGTAATGTTGTACTAAATTTTATGATCTATTCATTACTTTTTGCTATTCCTTTTATAAATGTGAGATTTCAAATTTCCGTGACCTTGACAATTACCCTTTTCACCCCAAAATTTAATCACCTCTTCCCTAGATAAACATTATTTATCACTCAACTGAATTTTTTGATGATGATCACTCATTAGTTTTGCATTTAAGTAGGCATACAAACATCAGTGACAGGGATGGCGCTGTTCCGATGTCCCTGACGGGGGGGGGGGGTGTGACACCCCAATGAGAGTGTAAGTGGCCAAGGTCGGTTGTTGCTCAAAATCTCTCTGAAACTATGACAATTTAGAAGTTTATAGCTTTGTAAAGAATTTTAGAGTCTTATAATATGTGAAGAAAAAACACATAATTTTTTTTTTCTCTCCTCGTCCCCCCCGGAGGGCTCACTCTTAAATATTTCTGTACAGGGAGGTGCCGCATTTACGGGGTATATTTTCAAGGACTTGGTAGCACAAGTGTGGGAAATATGGGTGGAGTTGCAGCATTTATGAAGTATACTTGTGAGGACTTGGTAGCACATTTGTGGGAAATATCCAGGGTGAAATTGGTAGTAAAAGTTCCTGGCCTATACTGTGTTAAAGTGCATGATTTTCCGCACGATGTTAGCTGGAATCTTAAGTTATACTTCGTGCTAAGCTGGTAAAGCCTCTTGCTATCCCTACAGTACCTTTGGTACAGCCACAAAATCACGACCAGACGGAACACTTTATGCCATCAGGAACCAGTCAATATTGTGCCCTCTCTGGCACTATTGAATGGCCTTTTTCATGTCATCTTTTAGAGCACAGTGCGATTTTGGTAACAAGTCCCTACTAATTTTCAGTAAAATAGGTAGCACAAGTGTCTCATATCTTGAAGTGGCTGCGGCACCTCCATGTTTGGTTGGTATGCAAGTGCTCCCCGGGCCCGTCCCCCAACGAGTTGTGTTGTTCTGTACAACAGGTTGGGCTAGCTCTCCCCAATGGGGGAGGGGCCCTTGTCACCACTTCCCATCCCTGATCAATGACTACATGACTTCTGTGGTGGAGGTAACCAATCAAAGAATAACCAATAAAAGTAAAACCACTTCTGTATTGATAATGAGACTTGTGTAAAATGTACGGATTGACAAATCGGGGAAATTCATTGGGCTATAAAGGCGATAAAGATTAGTGCTAATCCAATTAATTAATAATATGTGCCCCGAATCAGGATTTGTTGAAATGACCTCCAAAAATCCAACACGCCAAACTTACCAGTAAAACAGCGCCTGTAGGCATCCATCCTCCAATAAATGTTCTTCAGCGTGTCAAATGTGTGACCTTTCAAAACAGAACAGCCTCTGACCGTGCTGTCGGGGTAACCCAAATTATCATTATTATCATTTTTTTCTATGGAGGCATGCTATCAAAAGGGAAAAAAAAGATAATCAATTGCTGGAAGTGCAATGGCCAGGCTGCCTTCCATTACACCGATGCTGTAGACGTTAGAGCCACATTAATATTTTGCTGGGATTGCAATCCCAAAATCTCTGGGTAGCACAAGTATTAATATTGTTACACCGGTGGCTGATTCAAGGTGGGTGGGGGCCAGCCGGACTGGGCCACCCCTAAATTAAAAAAAAAATTTTAATAAAATTATTTAAGAATTGAAGTAAAAAGGAAAATAATACAAATTTAGGTTTGAGAGTGCCATTTCTGGCCATCTAGAGGTGCCATAGTCATAAATTTACTTATCTCAGCCCCAAGCATGGTGGGGCTGAGGTGGTCTAAACTTTCCATCTGTGAAAGTCCCTCACTGGGCCTCCTCTATTTCAAAAAGCTGGATCTGCCACTGTACTCAATGAATGTAGTCCTATAAATAAATGAATAAAGAAATTGTGTAATAAAATGCCTCTGACTGGACTCTAACCTGCGACCTGCAACCTCTCGCTGTCAAGGTGAGCATCATAACCATTAGACCACTGAGGCTTAATGGTTGAACAGATCCAAATGAATAAAGACATTGTGTAATCAAATGCCCTGGGGTTTCACCCCCCTGAGAACTCCTGCTAAAGGAGTCTCTCAGAGGGTACATAGGCCTACTTCTGACACAGGTGGGTGTTTCATGAGTAATAGGTCTAGATAGAATCTTTGTTTTGTTTTTAAAAAGCCAGGGAGAATATGGCTAGGTGCTATAACTTTAACCATTTGACTAGAGAATATTGTTTTCTTTCAACATAAAAATTGACCAAAATTTGTGTTGTTGAATTCAGTGGAAACCATCCCTTTTATCTAAAAGCTCTTGCATCTATATGTAAATACATTAAATTCTAAAAGCTTGTGTTTAGTGAAGAAAATAGTTATTAGCTGTAGTGATACATTCTGTATGATGAAAATTGTTCACAAGTATTTAATTTCTTTTTTTTTAATTGTTAATGTACAATATACCTATCTACTAAACTAACTGATTGAAAACAATTTTCTTGTATAAAACCCAGCTTCATAGATTTCATTTCAGTGTGTACTGTAGGAAAAGAAAAACATTTATTTAATTATTTATTCTGAAGTTGTATGCTGTTAATTATATGTTAGTTTTGTTTTCTGGAATGAAATTTTTATGCAAAGATCGATATCTAGCTAATATTTAAGATACTGTAAATATGTAAATTACCTCATTTAATTAATTAATTATTTTTCTTGTTTTGGTATTTTGCTTGAGCTAGTAATTTTTTTTGAAATAAATATATAGGTACAAGAAATGATTGATATGTAGCTGTATTGTGATGTTTTACCTGTTCTGACCATCAAATTCATTCATTCAACAAATTGTAGAATGTAAGCAATCAAGAGCATCCATTCGATTTTATAGTGTACTCACTTGACCTCCTCTGGGCAACTTGTAACCAATCATGTTTATTCAACTCTACATCTTCCAGTCAGTTTTTTAACCATGTTAATTCGGTTTTCCTCTCCTATGCTTGTGGTCTCATCTAACCAACTTTTCTCCTGGTCGTTTCTAGTTACCTTTTGATTGTTCATTCAGTCGACTTTTCTGGTCAACTATAACCATAATGTTCATTCGTTTCGAAATTCAAAGTTTATTTATTGTCGGCAATATATTGGACCTTTTTCTGTACAGCCGTTGATAATATAACACAGTGTACTTAATACTTTACGATTTGAAAATAAGTAAATGAAATGATTATTGGTTATTAAAATAATTTCTCTAGAATACATCTGCCGTCACTCCAATAATATTTGATTGAAGACAATACATTACGACAAAGACATTACAACACTTCATTGAAAAAATAAAACATGTGAACCTAGCAGCAAAAGAAGAAAAAAATAGATTTGCATCAGAGGCAATCGGAGAAGGATTGGGAAACAGAGCAGAATAGAAGTTTATAAAAGTGATACTCGGAGTAACGCACGACGAAAAAGAGGAAAGAGAGGAGGAGGTCAGAATTGGTGCAACGTACGTATGCATTCCCCGGTAAAACATTTGGCGGGTGTATTTCGGGAAAATTATCAGATGCTATAAATTTTTAATGCTGTCCAAGTTTGTATTAGAGCTTAGGTTTTGGTCTTAAACTTTTAGTTAAAATATTGATTAGTATTGAATTATTAATTTCTTTAAAAATTAAGGAGAAACAGTTTTAGAAAATAAATATCGAAATCGACTCGCATACAAATCTGTGCATTTGTTTTCACTCTTTGGCACTCAAATTTGAACGAGTGGGCGGTGACTGGCTAAGATTTCCGCTAAGCTTAGTCATGTCCCAACTTCTAAAAACTCCAATGTTTTTTCTGTCATGGATTCGTTTTTTTTGTTTTGTTTTTTTTTTTTTGTTTTGTTTTGTTTTGTTTTTTGTTTTTTTGGTGGGGGGGTGGTGGGGTTTATCTGAAAACAAAGACTGTATCCTATGGTGTTTGTTGAACTATACTCTTTGTCAAAGTACGTTTTGCTGTTATATTATGTTATTAGTGATTTTGTTTCAATTTGCTACTATTATGCAGTTGTAGAATTCTTATTCCTCCTCAGAAAACATTTGATTGTATATTGTCTTGATTGTCATATCATCATGGGCATTGTCCATATATGGGGCGTGATGATGTCATATCATTCTCATGGACAGATCACTAGTGTTCAAATGTTATAGTGGTGTGGAAAGATTTTTAGACTTCAAATTGTCTTATAACAATTCCCTATTACAGTTCGTGGGCCTAGGTTAGTCGCACAATTAGTGAAACGAGAAACAGTTGACCTTGTGTTTTGTTTTTATAGCAGTTAATTTGATTTATTTCTGAACCAAAAATTTACAAATTTATATTTAGGCCTACTGACAGATAGATATTAACATTGTATCGTTAAGTTAAAAGTTTGTTTCAAAATGGGTCCTTACATTCATGCGACCATAAATAACCATCTATAATTTATTTGAATTAGACGTATGATGTGATAAATTACTGTTGAAGTTAGCGTTACATCTCAGCATGGCATTATCAACTGTGTCAAACCATTTATGAAGTCTCACACCTGTTCAATTTCTTTGATCATATTGTAAACCTGTAATGTGTTAGTGGATCGTTACCAGAAAATTGTAGGCCTATGAACTTTTACAAGAACGTACGTAGGTACAGGTGGACTATTGAAGATGCATAAATAGAATGATAATGTGTAGCCAACTGAATATGCTTCTGCAATAGAAATAACCTACATTGTTAAAATATTTGGCTGCAGGCAACAGTTGTGTCGGAATTGTTGATCATCCATGTTTGGAAAAGTCAACAAAATGTTTCTCATCTCGCCCATCTCCACTTTGTTCAATTTTAACTGATGTTTTCTGTATTTTTTTTCTACACAACTTTGAATAATCACATAACTAGTAGGCATATAACCGAATAAGTCTAAATTACAGCAATATAAGCGAGACAGCAATTTAAAGAATACATTACCATGATATGATCGTAGTTCTATCTGATAGAATTTTTTTTTTGTATGAAACGCATCAAGGATAATCCACTTTAGTCCACTTGTTGCTAGTGCCCTAGCAAACACATAATGTCATAAACCAATCGTTTAAACTTGTTATAACGTCAGCGAACGCTGTGGTTATGTAGTTATGTCAAAAAATGACGTTTATGTAACGTAGTAAAAGCAACGTTGCAAATGTTTTAAGTTGTGAAATTACGTTATAAACGCATATTGATGTTCAACAAAAAAAACATTTTTGTGCACCAAAACTGTGACGTAAAACATAAAATTGTTACGTATCCTAGAGTCCTTCTTTTTGTTTTCTTTAAACTGGTGGTAAGCGTACTAAAAATTAATTTTTATTCAACAACATTTTGAAACAAAATTTATCGAGACCATTAAAAAATTGTATATTATTGCTGTGGAGACACTTTAAAACTCTTGTGTTAGCTTGGCATGAAGTGTTCCTTCATAAAATCATAAGTAAAAATACTAAATAGTTTATTGATCCATCTCCTTATCAAGGGATATAGTAAAAATATTAAATTGACGGTGATGTGCAGGGTGTCTCGAAAACAGAGACATCGAAAACAGAGACTCGAGACCTGAGACCCACTCGAAAACAGAGGCCCAGCATTTGAAAACACAAACCCTAGATGGGTCTCTGCTTTCGAGACACCCGTGATATGCACGTGACAATTTATAGGCCTAATATGATCTGATAAACGGACAATGACCGGGTTCTTTAATGCCTCCCAAAATGTTTATTCCTTGTCATTATCAATTTATCAATAGTCAAACTTGCATGTTTTGGAAACAATCACTTTCAGAAATAATCACTACATAATTTACACCCATCTGTTTTGTTTTGTTTTGTTTTATTTTTAATTATTTTATCATCAACTAACAGGTGATCCTCTTCACAATTTGGCGCTCAACAAAAACTTCTAAACCGTACGTAGTCTTGTTTATACGGTTGTATAATTAAGCTTATAAAGGGCAAGGGTTTCTTGATTACTCTTCGTACCCCTTTTCCAGGGCTTTCATTTAAAATATCAGATTGTGAATTTGCACATGATAATTTGTACTGGTGTTTTCATGTCCACTCCGTTTCTTTTGATAAAATGAAAGTCTGACATACCGAACAATTACCTGTTTGAATTTTTCCAAAACTGATGATTAGGCCTATTTTTTTCATATCGTCGGGGCAATTACGTTTATCTGCAACAAATTGGCCTTTCAAAATACAAAACGTTTTTGGATGAATTAAGTTGTTTATACCTTCAGTTGTGATAGCATACAATATGGAATTGTAATTTGATCTGTCTATTTTCTTTCTTTTTCTTTCTTTTTTCTTGTACAGTATATCAGTTACTCATATTCAATTCAATTTTAATTTTATTACAAATCAATATACATCATTTAGGTACAGTAATACAAAAGGATAAGTATCAAAAAAATTTAGAATAATAATTAATAAATTAAATTGCACAAATTAAATAAAAGGTTTAGCTTAAATAAATTCTGTATCCAGTCCAATATTAGCTAAATGTGCCACCTACGGCGAGTACCGTATATGTATACTGTACAGTCTTGTTTCCTATTGGTATGGTTGGTCAATTGCTGATCGTAATTCGAATGCTATATAGATAAATAAATTGTTTAAATATATTTTTAAAATTATGTGAATAGTGTCCGATAGAGGTCTACTTCTCGGCCTCTTTCGTGTACAGTATCTAAAATCATGACATTTATTCCAATATTTGACACCATTATCTCCCACGTCGAAAGTTCAAAGGTTCAAAACGTATTTACGGTTTAAAAAGGAAAGGAAGACTCGATTACTTGACAATTTACGACTGCACATTCGAAGTTAATCAATGCAATCATACACATAGAAGCATGGCGAATAGTAAGATTACCTGGATCGTGACTATTTTCATTATATCTGCTGCAATTCTAGAGGCTGAAGTAAAAACAATAAAGTAAGTTTAACAGTTTTTTGTTTGTTTTTTTTTGTTTTGTTTTTGTATCTTTTGTTTTGTTTTTTGTTTTGTTTTTGTTTTTTATTTTTTTTTTAATTTTTGCTTTTTTTTATTCCCATTGTCTATGTGATTACGTGATGATATTACTAACACTTCTTCACATTACTCACATGTAATTAGAGTGTTGTGAAATGGTCAGTAGATAAGCAGTAGCCTCATTCTTGTCCTGTAATGTTACCAACAATTCAAAATGCACTGACTACTAGTCATATTTAGAACTCGTTACAATTACTACGAGAGGTCCATTCCGAGACAAATCACTCAAAACGATTTTAATACTGATCAGTTCTAAATGTTATTATTATTTTAACATTAATATTTCAGGTCTCCCTCTAAATAGAAATTCCTCCGATTTAAGACCATTTTTCCTTGGTCCCAAATCAGCAAATGTCTTATTTTTATTATTCTGATTAGAGACCAAAGCGACTAAAGAAAATGAAAAAGTGGTCTTTAATTGGAGAGAGACCTGTATTATTATTTTTATTATATTTGTATCTGTATCGATTCCTTGCAAACACCTTTAAATATTGTTGTTATTAGGCCATTATTAGCATCGTTATCAATAATAATAATTATAAAACAAAATGAAACGATTTTCATTGGATCCAAAGAGGAGAGAGAGAGCTTGTGTTAGAAGCATTCAAAAGACACATATTGCAGGAGCTAGGCATGGATAGCCCACCTTCAGCTCCAGCTACAGCCATGGGTATAATAGATGAGACTATCAACCTTACCTTCTACAATGAGATGAGAAAACTTTTAGATAAAGAATACAACCCGACACAAGCATCTGTCGTTGAGGAACACATCGAACTGCATCCCTCATGTAAGTTTATTGTTCGTAGCAAGTGATCTAATGCTCTCTCTTTTGGTTTGTTTAATTCCATTTAAAAAGCAGTAGAGCCCATAAGAGATAAATTTCCCTAACCTAAAAAGTGTCCCCTTACTAGGCGTGTCCCCTCAATAGGGATGTCCGAAAAGAGGGGTTCTACCGTTTCCAATTTTATTAGGCTAAATACAAGATGCATTGTATAACAACACTTACCATAAATAATGATCATATCGTAACACGTGAAAATCGTCTTGCGGTAATGCTTTGTAAATATACGGTATATAAATTTTAAAATTTTAAACGGTAAGGAAGAGGAAGAAAGAGCAAGAATATATAATAATATAGTTCGAGTTGTGATTTTTATATAAACAAATAAGATAGTGCACAGTTATTATTATATTATTATAGGGCTATATTATTTGTTTTTTGTGTTGAAATTTGAATTGAATAAATAAATAAATA